AATTGGGGATACAGCAATAAAAAAAACGACAGAGGCTCTAACTCTTCCACAGTATGCAAGACTAAAATATAAGATATGGCTGGAGTTGGGCTTTAATACTTTAATAAAATAAAGTAAGGCAAGAAGCATGTTTGGATCAAATCTGGAACTTAAAACAGACTTTGCACTTCAGACAAGGTCCGCTTATTCAGTGTGGCCCCCCTCTCCTTTCCCGAAACTCTGCATTAAAGTGCAAAAATGTATACGTAGAGGGAAAAATAAATAATAAACACGCCCTTCTCTGAATTTCGTAGTGTAGAAGGAGAGGTCATTCTCCTGCCGACAAGATCCCGGGGAATGTTGAGTAGCCCAAATCCGGTGAGTAGACACTGCAGCACAGTGCAGGTTCATCTTCTTACAAGATATGGCCTGCTTAATATTCTCCGAGATCTGACTGGAAGCAGCATGACATCACATGTCTGAAGGTTCTCATTCATCCAGGTCATGGTATATCTGTAAAAGTTAAATCAAGGCAACTGGGCTTGTTGTATTTTCACTGGCCATCCGACTAGCTTTTTCCGTTCAGAATTGAGAAAGCTGGTTAGATGACCAGTGAAACCTCTTCAAGAAAAATACAGGAAGTCCAGTTGACTTGATTTAATATTTACAGATACAGGATGGTGCCACCCTCGCCTAGGCCCCAGGGGAGGAAGATGGGAAAAGTAAGTATATCAACTTTTTTTTATTTTGCAGCTTCATCCAGCTTTGTAGGGATGGGGGGGGGGAAACCTTAAATAAGGGGACCATGTCACTGAGCTGCCAGGCCCACTTTCATAGACATTTTTACTAGGGATGCACCGATATAATCGGCCACCGAAACATATCGGCCGAAAATGGCACTTTTGGCAAAATGCTGAAAGTGCCATTTTCTGGCCTATACAGCGGTGCATCTGTTCTGTCTCTCCTCCACGCCGGGTGCTGCTCTGTGTCCCAGCAGGGAGGAGAGAAACTGTCACTGTGAGCGGCCGGTGTCTCTCCTCCCCGCACTGCTCAGCCTCCTGTCACAGATCAGGAGAGCGGTGTGGGGGCGGAGACAGCCCGCGCTGTCACAGGAGGCTGAGCTCTCCTCCCGGCACTGCTACACTCATCCTCCTGTGACAGCGTGTCAGGAAGGAGAACAGGTACAAGCAGTCAGTGATCAGTGATCGCTGAGTGTTTGTAGATAATTGAGGACAGAGTATGTTACTATATCCTCAATTATGAATGAATGGGAGTGATCTACATCTCCTCCTGCTCATTCATGATTGGTTATAGTAAACATACTCTGTCCTCATGTTATGAATGAACAGGAACACTCAGTATAGAGGATTCCTGTTCATTGATAACAGGGGCCTGCAGAAAAGCGGATTGAGGACTCTGTGTTTTTAATCTCTTTTTCTATTTTAAAAAGGGAAATATCAGGGATCTGTTTAGACCCCTAATATTTCCCCCGAAGCCCCTAAAAGTAAAGTAAAACATAAAAATATTTAATACAAATAAATAAATAAATACAAATAAAATATAAAAAAAGTTTATAAAAAATACATAAAAATAAAATATTTGAAAAAAATTAGAATAAAAAACATTTTCGTTTTCAGCCTGACATTTTTGTTTCATTTCGGTTTTGAAATTTAATTTCAGTGCACCTCTAAATTTTTACACCTGTGCTAAAAGCGATTTAAGGATTTCAAAAAACTCTAAGCACAAAAAAGCTTGGAATCTCTCTAAGTGAAATACTTAATGCAATAAACAAAAGCACATATTGCGTTGTGTTTGCTTTGTAACCTAAATTTTCTCAAATTCACTCCCGCTGTGCTTTTTGAAGGCTCCCTCTCTATTTAAAGTGGATAAATCATTTATTCTTTCAGTAAAATCCCTAAAATATTCATGTGTATACGCTCCCTGCATTCTGCACACATCAGCTGAGGGTACATACACAACATTCACTTCCTTTCACTTTTTTTTTGGTGGAAGTGTGCAGCTGTTAGGGCCGATATCACAGTCGCAGGATCTGAAGCGCGTTGGGTTGCAAGATAGACTCATTTATCATTTACGAGGCTCTAAAGCCGCTAAAGTCAGGTCTCAATATTACTGGTGACTGTGTTGCAGTCTGTGTACTGATATGGTCACGTATTCTGTCCTGGGATTCGGTCAAATTTTGTAATCTTGAAATTTAGACAGATCTCCAATCCTGTAATAACGTGTAATGAGATTGCCAAAGGAAACATTTTAGAGGGTCTCTAGGAAAGAGTCCACCTCTCACCTATAGATAAGGGTTGCTCAGTGGCGCATAAAAGTGGAGTGAGCATCAGATATATTTCATAGTAAGTGCTTGCATGGCACATATCATGTTAGCACTTTTAGGGCCAGTTCACACCAATTGTGTTCCAGAGCTCAGCAATCGCTCACTAAACTTCTGGGGCCTGGCGGTGCATTGAAGTCAATGGCACCTCAGCCACGCCCCACACCCGCAGTGCGATCGACCGCATGGCAAACAATTGCCTAGAGCATGCAACATTTTTTTGCATTCACACTGGACTGAAATGCAGGCAATGTTTTGTCCACTTTGGGTGACACCCAGCCTCAGGATGCCCCTGCACACAGGGTCCCCTTCATCAGGTCATTTCAAGCCTGATGAAGGGGACACTGTGTGGCCCCGAAACTTTGTTATTTTTTTTTTACATGAAGCGTCAATAAACAGACGTGTTCTTCACTGTAATATGGTGTGCTGGTGACATCTTTAACAGGTTTCAGTATTGGCAGCGCCATCCGCGGTCACTTCGAGCGCCCACGCTGACAGGGATACCCGGTAAGGAGTGCAGCAGGATTCTGGAATACACATTATTTGCTGGTTGTGTCTCATGTTGGTTTGGCACAGGCAGAACGAACATTTACAAATTAAAAGTGACATCTCCAGCTTTTAACGTCTCCTCTACATCACCGTCATCCTTCCCGTAACGGCAGGTTAGATCTAACAGCACATGCAAATGTTTTGACAGACTGGGGGCACTCCAGCAGAAAAGGAATCTAATTATACCATTAAAAAGGTGCGAAGTTAATTCTCTTTTGTTGCAATTAAACAGCAGACTAAAATTGTTTATCCTCCTTTATAAGATATCTTTTTCTCTTCGCTTTCACTATCGGATCAGTGTCGCCAAGCGCTTCTGAAAGGCCGCTCAGCCTGCGGAAGTCTCTGCATTTGTAATCACTGAGCAGTACAAAGCTTCAACTTCCTTTGCTGCACAATGCAGAATTAATGAGGAGTGGGGCCAGAATCCTCACTGGCGGTTGACAAATGTCTTTGCGTTGCGTTTGTTTATATAAATTTATAGCCTTTTCCAGAATAGAAATGTTTTTGTTTGCCTGGAATTATGATGCAGTATTTCCCTGTAGATAAAGAAGCACGGCGTGTTATTTTATCTCTGGTTTGGCAGGCAGTTTTTCTTTGGGTTTACAGAGAAGGACTCTAAATGCCATCGTTTTATCTTCTCTTTTTATTTGCTGGATGTAAATATTAAGAGCTATAAAAAGAGACAGATGATTTACACTGTTTAAAAAGTTAATATAATTAACCACCTCTCAAAAGGATGTGCCAGAAAAGGGAAAGTGCGTTTAATAAGGAATCTGTTCACCAAAACAAGATTACTTTGCCATGCAGGAGTTTACTACTTAAAGAAAAACACTCATTATTGGGCAAGAGCAGGGCCGCCCCTATAATAAGGCAGTTGCCTCAGGCGACATCTCATTTGGGGCTGCCAGGTGGTGGTGGGGGCAGCCACAGTGTCCCGGTTAGCAACAAGCTCTTAGCAACCTGTGATGTTCTGTCTGGTGTCTCGCCGAGCTCACTGACGTCAACGTTTGTCTAGAGCTGAGTCGAATGCTCTGGCTTGCGCCCTGCCGAGCTCCAGTAATGGGTGGGGTGCTCGCAGTGACTGTGGATGGCGCCGCAAACATCGGTAAGGAGTGCAACAAGGAAAAGTCTTAGTTTCTGCCAAGCTCCTGGCCACCAGTGACATCAGTGAGCTGGGAACTTCTGACAGCACGGTCTGGTGTCCACCACCGCCTAAGGCCCTATCAGCACAGCCCCCCTGCCGGAACAAAATTGCCTCCAGCAGAGATTACCTTAGGGACAGCCCAGGGCAAGAATCTGAGATTTGTGTCTAAAATTATTTCAACATTGCAGGCTTGCTTATAAAACTGCATCTTGCTTACAAAATTGAGGATTTTGAGTGCATCCGTAAACACTAAACCATCACATTCTGTAGAAGAGTCACACTGGCTTATCAGGAGAATAATTATAGCAATCAGGAAAGGTATCTGATCTGTCCAAACAAAATCTCCCCCCAATAAGCAATGCGCTCTGGTTGCCCCATAGCCAATAGACTGTCACCCGAGCCATAGTCAGAAACTGTCTAATGTTAACACATTAATCAAGTTGTATGTGGTCGTTATATATGGATTTTAGTTATAATGATTTTATCATCTTTTTATACCATCTTTTTATTGTGTGTGTTACTATATATATATATGTATATATATATATATATAGTATCTGTTCTGTAGCCCTGATGAAGGGTGTGTTGCTGCACTCGAAATGCGTTGTTCTTTTTTTGTCATTGAATATTGAAAGACTCTTTGGACTTTTTAACCTATATGGTCTTGTGACCATTCAATATACTGTATGTCTACACCATAAGCTTCTTATGGGTACCCTACTATGGGAGCCCTGGTGTGCCAATAAGCTTGCTTGGGAAACCTTTGTACATTAGGACTTTTGAATAAGAATGTAGATCCCAGGACCTCATATATTTGGATCTAATGTTTATGATCACCTTAAAGCGGACCTTTACCCAGATCTATAAAATAACAACAAATATAGGTTCTAACTTTACTATGACCTTTCTGGTCTGCATACTTGTTGAGGTTAATTTCCCTTTAACTGTTCTTTTCTTGACACCCCAATAAGAAAATGGAAGACTTACGAAGGACTCGAACCCCATGCTTTAGAGACTGGATACGGCTGGGTTCCATGGACATGCTTAGGACCGTCTGCTGTCCACCAATGGTGCACACTTGGTTTTCCTGGTGAGCCTGTTTGACCATAATGATCAGCTGGTTGGCTATGATGGTGTTGAGAGCGGAGATCACAATCATTGGAAAGATGAAGGAAAGGAAAGCATTGACCTAAAACATACAAAAGAGAGAACTAGTCAGACAACTGCTAAGAACACATAGTGCAGACAGCTAGTGAAACAGGAGCATAACTCTAGCAACCACAGCTTTTGCCAAAATGATTGGGGAGATGCAACCTAAATAGACATTGTAGAAGAGATCTACGTATACTGTATGTTATCAACATATAATTCTTTAAAAGCATTGACAGTGTTTTTAAATATATTTTTTTCTAAAATATGTAAAAGATAAAGCTATATTTATGCATCCTTTTTACAGGATGTGCATCCTTTCTACCAGATCAAGGGTGATACATGACTTTTCTTAGCTAAGTTTATAGACAGCTCAAACTAATAAGGACTCATTAGTGTGCCATTAGTGCATACTGTGCTTATTGACAAGGGCCGGCATTACTACTTTGTGGATATGCTGTCGTGCTGAAACTAACAATGGAAGGCTTGTGCAATATATTTTCGTGGTGATGGGACAAGGTATTGCAATAATGACCTCCTCCTTTGTGGTATTGTATCTGCTGCAGGTTATAACTTGGATATGTGACTTGGGAGACAGAGTTCTAAGAGAAAGTTCTCTCTTGACAGAAGGACAGGGGAGGTGGAAGAAAATGAGAGCAGAACAGCTCCCCAGGTGCATACCACTTAGCTGAATACACAGTTTAATGAGATAATCAAAAACATTTTGCTAATCAGGTTTTTGTATTGCTGTCCTCCATGAGGGATTAAGGCATGAGTTTACATCTCCAGAGTAGTATTCTGTTAGTATATATATATATATATATACACGTATATATATACACGTATATATACACACACACATACAGCAAATGCTAACAGAGTAAATTGAAAAAAGTGAAGGGGGGTCTGAATACTTTCTGGATGTATATAGTGCATTTTTTATGTTGCAGCTTAATACTGCATTGATCTACACAGTACCCCATATTGACTAAGTGAAAACAGAATTTTAGAAATATCTGTGAATTTATGAAAAGGGAAAAACTGAAATATCACATTGGCTTAAGTATTCACACCCTTTGCAGGAACACTTGAAATTGAGCTCAGGTGCCTCTCATTTCTCTTGATGGTTGCTGAGATGTTTCTACACCTTGATTGCAGTCCACCTGTGGTACATTGAATTGACTGAACATGATTTGGAAAGGCGCACACCTCTCTATAGAAGGCCTCACAGCTGACAATGTATACTCTATCAGAGCAAAAGCCATGAGGTCAAAGGAACTGCCTGCAGTTCAGAGACAGGATTATTGCAAGGCACAGATCTGGGGATGGCTACAAAAACATTTCTGCTGCACTGAAGTTCCCAAGAGTACAGTGGCCCCCATAATTCTCCAATAGAGGAGGTTTGACACAACTAGGACTCTTCCAAGAGCTGGTCGCCCGGCCAAACTGAGCAATCGGGGGAGAAGGGCCTTAGTGAGACAGGTGATTAAGAACCCAATGGTCACTCTGAGCTCCAGAGATCCTGTGTGGAGATGGGACAAAATTCCAGAAGAACAACCATCACTGCAGCCCTCCACCGATCAAGCCTTTAGGATGTGAAGGGAAATCTCCCCAATAGGAGAAAAAAGGTAAAAGGCAGGGTTTTATATGTCCAAAACTAAAAAAAATTTTGATTGTAGAAGTTTCAAGGAACTGGATGAAGACAGTGTAAGTGAGCTGTTCTTTTCTAAATAGTAAGTATCTCTGGCAATGTAAAGGGTATGTTGATGGTACAGAACCAAGCAAACACTATTACGGTAACACTTTACTACAGGAAGCACTTTATTACAGTGTAAAGGAAGAATAAAGAGGTTATAAGAGCTCAGTCAATTAGGGTATTAAAAAGAATATAAAATATGGAGGAACTGGTGCATTGAGAAAAGTGGATGGGGGGGAATGCCCCTTTGCTGTACTTATTCTAACTCTGACTACAGGGTGCACTGACAAGTGTGTATATAAGAATTCAGCAAACTAAGTATTCCAAACATACAAACAGTTTTCTACACTTTAAATATATTGGCACCATTTTGTAGCAAGGACAGAGGGAGGAAGTATAATAATAGGAAATTATTATACCAAAATAAAGACGAATGGTGGCTATTTCTTTGCAGAATCCATTGCCTTCGGCTAATTAATTAGAGAAATAGTGAGCGATTTATCAACTCTGGTTTACCTCCACGAGGCAATTAGCAGTCAAGGCATGTACAACTCTACTCGAGACGAGACTTGACTTTACTGCTAATTGCCGCCAGGTTAATTGATTTAAATAAACGTTAATTGAATATGATGGAGACTATGCCTGCACTTGTCCTTGAGGACCAGACACTGTAATCTCTGATTTATATTATTAACTCGAGGGCAGGTGCTAGGGCTGGCATTACAATCAATGTCTTAAAACAGAAGGGAATCATTCAACTTTTCAAATGTAATTCCACCTGTTTCCAACTTATTGGTGAGTTTTAGCTTGGGCAATTAAATAAATCAGCCATGCAAACTGTATCTATGACCGCTTTGTTCACTTGCATACACCAGGTCTTGAAGTTTCCTTTGTGCCCAATACTTCTTGCTACCATGGGGGAACTGTATGCACATGGAATTATGATGTCTGTGTGAGCAATCCATATGTCAGGACCAGCTATGGACGCACACTGTCAGAGCCAATAGCGACAAGTCGTTTCACCATTAGCAGCCGCCGCTCCCATAAGGCAAGCACGCCTACCGGTACTTGGATGCCCCCATGACTTAAACTATTTGCTCTGATCAGGTGATGCCACAGGCTGGCCCCCCCGGAACAAGGAGAAATACTGACTGATGACAAGGTGCAAGACAAACAGAAAGCAAGACACAAGACAGGAACAGGAAACTATTACAGGGCAGGGACTAATACAAGATAAATACAGGAAACAAGACAGGGATAGGATTAAAGAGCCAAGGCAAGACTAGGTTACAAGATCAAGGCAGGACTGGGTTTCAGGATCAGGATACAGGATTGTGTAGGCAGAACAAGACAAGACTGGAGCTAGAACTATCACAAGCCCAGAGGTCTGGGCTTCTGATCAAGGCTGTAGCTACCATGGGGCGAGTGAGGCACTCGCCTCAGGCGCAGCTGAGAAGGGGGCGCAGCCAGGGCAGGCCTGGCTGCGCCCCTGTTGCCATTGCGAGCACAGGGCGTCCTTGGCAACAGGGGCACTACGCGGCCAAAACAGCCGGGACTCGGCAGGGAGAAGAGGAGCGGAATTTCAAAAGGGAAATGTTTAGACCCCTGATATTTCCCCGAAGCTCTCCAACAGTAAAAAAAATTATAATAAAAAATAAATAAAAAAAACAAAAAAAACCACACACAGACACGCACACACACACACACACACACACACACACACATTATTAGACATGTGCAACGAAGAAAAATTTGTTTTGGACAAAATGAACGGAAAGTAAAAACGTTTGCATTAGTTTTGTCAAACAAAACAAATTGTTATGCTATCTTGGATTCAGCCCCCAGTGCATTCTGCGCATGCGCACCGCCATCCTGGAGGCGGGGTGCATGACGCCACATATTGCACACGTCTGTTGGGGGGCACAATAGTCTGTACTCGCCTTGGGAGCAAAAGAAGCTAGCTACAGCTCTGCTTCTGATGCTTAAATAGAGCACAACTAACCAATGCTCAGGCTGTAAAGGGCGTGTAGCCAGGCTGATTAGCCTGCAGCTGACTGGATTATGGTAGGTGCAATTACAAGAGGCACCCAGGAGATGGAGCTGAGTGGTTGCGACAGGGATAGGTGCATTTGACATGCTCCTAACACCATAGAGTAGTAATAGGAGACACCTCAGTACAAACCTACTATTGCTATGGGTAAAACTCACATTTTAATACTTATTGGTAACTTCATTATATATCCATAAATGATAGCACAACGTGTCTTCTAAATATTCAACCTCAATCTTACCCTGACCTACCATGCTCCTGTAAAACTACTTGATGGGTAGTTCTTAATTCAATGGCTCACTAGCTCTGCAAGCCCTAGGGCAGCAAAGTAGGCCAAACAATAATGTGTCCATCACCATGCTTCACAGTTGAGATAAGGTATTGGTGTTTTTTTTAACATTCAGTGCATTATTTGTACTCCAAATACAGAACACCATCCCAGAGACATTGTGAAACTGTCAGATGGTCTTTGCAGCAAAATGGCTTCCTCTGAGAGACCCTTACATAAATACCATTAATGTCCAGTGTTTTACTTAGAATGGAAACATGAACACAGACATTGGCACATGCAAGATATTTCTACAGATTCTTTGCTATTACTCTAAGTATCTTCTTTTTGGGTCTGGTGAAATTGTCTTTGATCTGAACTGCTCTTGAGAAGTGCAATCACTATGGGGGTCTATTTAAAAACAATTCACAGAGCCATCGGCCCTGTACATCTGTTAATGTTCTGTGCGAATGGATGCACAAAACGAATGTTCTTGCTATAGGTATGCTAAATGCATTCTTGAATTCTTGAATGCCATCATGTAATACCACATTATGGCCACTTAATGGAGCTGAGGAGCATAGGTAAGTAGTTTTTGTTTCCTATGCTCCTCCGCTCCATCTGCTGCCATAATGTGGTATTACAAAATAACATTCGAAAATACATCCCACTTTTAAAGAAAATATAGCAAGAATGTTTGTTTCGTGCATACATTTGCATTCTCATCAATGAGCAGAATAGATCATTGCTGTCCACCTATTTATCATCAAACTTTGTGTCATATTTCTTTCTTTCTGAGAAGTTCTGGCTCCCGTTTCCTTTTTTATTGGCAAGGAAATCCAGTTTCCAGGAACTTTTTTCTTTATCTTTTGATAATAGAAGCCCCAACATGATCAATACAGGCATCTAGAGGGGAGGGGGGGTGCAAGCTTTTCTGTTTGTATTTTGGAGGATAAAAACCTCTTCCCTGCAGGCTGCCTTCTGTCTGTCATTTCTGGGTTTTTACTAACCAGTTTGCTGCTCAGC